TATGTAAATTTCGGCTGGAATTATGGAATTGGCCCGAATTATCCCGCGCATCACGTGATGGATCACGCGCGGGATCCCGCGTGATGCCCATCACTAGTGAAAATCCTGATTACTATTACAATTTAATAATTTGAGATTTCTAAATCAGTGTTGTCACTAGAGATGCGGACTAGCGATGCCAACTAATTTACGTAATAATTAATTATCACAAGAAAATAACTAGCAATTTTTCACATCGTGTGCAATAAGTATAAGTTATAGTATGTGATGATTCATTATTACAAGGTCAAGGGTAGCTACCCTCCTACGTCATATAAAACTTGGGTAGCTACCCCAGTTACGGCTATGACGTATGTTATTTCATGTCCGCACCTTTAGTTGTCACTATTTACTTGGCCAGCCAATGAAATAGCAACTAATTTATAGCAAAACTAGCTAATAGCGATAGTACGTAAGATTGGCCAATGCTTTATTATTGGCCATTGGATTGCCAACATCGCCTTAAATAAACCTCAGGCTGTGTCAAAATTATGTTTTAGAGATTCTGTGCCTAAAGCTCGTGTGCGCCACTGCCGCAGCGTCGAATTTGGGATCTTTGCAAATATTCGGGATATTCAGGACTATGTAATCATAATCCCGAAGAGTTCTCTTGTTAGCTAAGATTCCGTTTGTAACATGGCTCGAACCTTCACTTAAATTTGAAATGAAGCTTCGGGCCACTAGATACTGTGGTAGTGGTGTCGAATGATCAATTATTTAAATTAAGTGCTAATTAGGGAAGGGATTTAGTAAATACTGTAGTAATTTAATAATTGCTCGTAATTTGCGTTTGTTCATAAATAAAAATCTAAATTTATATTGGTTACTTACTGTTACGTTATAACGTACAAAATAATTATGCTGCAAATTGTGTGGTGATATGGCAGTATTTTGAGATTATGTGAAACGCATAAAATCACTGTCCCTGGACTGATTCAGGCACCATTTTTCATATCTTTGGCGACTAATTTATTAGTGAATAGATAATTCGGAAATCGATACGTACTAACAATTAGTAATACGAATATCTGTTTAATGTACTGTACGCATATATGGTTATTAGGATAATGCTGGTATCACGTGAAAGAGTACGGTACATTAATTTTGAGTAACATGATAATAAGGGAATAAACAAATAACGATAAGTACAGTATCATATCGTCTATCGCCATTATACAATTACAACTTTAAAGATATAATGCTACACTAAGAGCTTTATCTTACATACAAAGCGATTTAGAATTCGTGACTAACAGACCCGTGATCATAAATACGTCACTTCCGGAAGTCGAAACTTTTAGCATGTATTAGCTCGGTTATCCAAGTTATAATTGTACTATAAATGAAACTTTAATAAACCATTCCCGTATATACGATTTATACTCAGACATGCATGACTTAATCTTTGAGACAAACATATCATTATGACTACTTGTAGAATCAACCGAGATATCTGATATTTTAGATTAAATGTTTGAGGGGTCTTTAAAATTCTTGAATTCCTCCACAATTAATCCAATACACAATTAAAGAATAATCTAACCAGTATATAAAAGATTGATTTTTACAAACATTTTTTTTAAAAAACCATCAGGGCATTTATAATTATTTTTCACTTATTATGTACATATTTGATATAATTATTAGACCTGATGTATCACTTTATTCAACATACCCTACTTAGTCGTTAAATCACTCTTAGGAGGTTCTTAGTTTTAATAATTTATAGCATTGATTTAACAAATTTGATCAGTTTTTGAGTTTGACATATTAACTGAACATGGAACATATATTCGGGTTTTGGTTATTGTCCAAAATGAAGTAGAAATCCAGATTCCCAAACCCAAAATATGTAGTAATGTCATAATTCAAAAAAAAAAAAAAGGTTGGTCGCAACTCTAAAAAGATTCTTTTGAAGATGATGATGGTGAACTGATCGAAGAAGAATCTTCAAAATTTTTAAAATTTTTGATTGACTTTGTTAAAGGTGCGTTTTTTAATGATGAACTGGTTATATTTGTACCGTCCTTAATACTCTTTTTCTCTTTGCGACGTTTATGTTTTTGTATGAGTCTCTGCACCTCCAATGATGCTGATTCTTTGTTAGAAATTTTGCTCGTATCTGTGAGTTTTGTCTTTAACGCTCGTTTCTTTGACTTCAATTCTGATACTTTTAAATGGCTTTTTGCTGTCTCCTTAACGGGTTCTTCATCTATACTCATATCATATTCGTTAATTATAGTTTGTTTATCCTCTTGCTTGATAGATTTTTTACTTTTTGTTTTTGTTGAAGCATTAACATTCTTTCGTGTTCTCGATTTAGTAGTTTTGCTGCCTGAATTACTTATAATTTCGGCTGATGACTGACTAATTATAGAATTTCCTTTAATAATTTTTGGAATATCTTCAGGCGGATTCGGTACGCTAGCACCGAATAAGCCCGGTGCAGCCCCTAATCTTGTTATCGCATAAAATTTTGGATTTGGCCTTTTTTCATTTGCCAAGTGATCTAAAAAATTCGCTGTTTCGGCAACAATTAAATCTTCTAATGCATTTTCGTCTTCCATATAATTGTGACATTCTGTTATGCTTGTCTGAGCGTTATTTGTTTTTGGAGGATTTACTAAGTATGGAAAATATACTATGTTGTTTTCTTTTTTCAAAGGAACTTCGAACCTAAGAGTGTTTTTAGTTTCTTCCGGTGCTTCTGGTTGTGTTTCCATTGCAAAACCATTTTGTAAAATGTTCTTTAGTGACATTGTCTGGCAAAATTTGAAAGAAATGTGTTAAATTACACCAAATGAATTAATTTATATACATTTTGTAGAATCAGTGGCTTAGCTGTGAATTCACGTGTAACTTTAAATTTTATAAGGTTTGTAATAAGCAAAATAACAAAAAAGTAAATAAAAAACCATATTTCATGTATTGTTAATGTAATAAAAAAATGTCAAAAAATATGGAATCTATTGTTATAAAATTCTAAATTTAAATAATTTATATCCTGATATCATGATAAATACGTAATTATACGTATTAATTATATTATTCGTTATATTATACAAGACTTTATAATAATGTAATTATAGAATAGTCTATCTGTTATTTGTTATTGATAATCTGTATAGAATAATACGTATATATATATGCAAAGTATATGTCAATTAGACTAGTACAGTAATTAAATAATAATATGTTTTTTATTGCCGGAATTTCATACCACATAAACTGAATATGGTAATCTGATTGGTGCATTTGTTATATAAATAGTTCTTTCTGATACTTTTGAGAATAGTGTATATTAATTATTTTTATCTTTTACAAAAATTGAAAACCTGAAAAACTTTATTTAAATATTTCTATGCGCATATACTGTATTACTTTATACTAGTTATATAAATAAATATTTAAAATAATTATAAAAAACATATAGTAGTATTTATATTTAGATAAAAATTTATTTATATTGTATAAATAAAAATAGAAATTTAATTTATATAAATTTTAATTTAATTAAAAAATTTTATTTTTATTTTTATTTATATATTTTCTGTAAAAAATAAAATAAGAAACATAAAAAATTTTTGAAATATATTTATAAATAATATTTTAGCTTAAAGTATATATATATATTTTTTTTTATATTTAGATAATCTTGTTTGTTATTTTATTAAGAAAAAGCTAATTTAAACTACAAGCAAAATGCTATACTATTTATAGCATATATATATTTTTTTTTATATTTAAGGCAGTTTATATTAACAATGAAATTTTATTAGTTTTGCATATAGGATTATATATTAATAATCTTTATTGTTTGTAATTATATGAAGAGTATATAACAAGTCATATATACAATTTTAGTTATTATTTATTTTAAACAGTTTGCTATATAAGTAATTAGACTATCTAATTAGTTTTACACTATATCATCATATCTGTAACTCATCTGTGATTTACCTATTTAAATATTTTGTTTATTAATTTATACAGATCTAATCCTAATATTACTACAACATCTAATCACTTAAGCTAACTAGCTCATTATAGATCTATTTACTCAAATCAGCTTAGATTTTTTTGAGTTATATTATACATAATATATTATAGATATTGCAGAGCTAGTTAACCTCAAAGCAAACTTACTAGAACAGCCTGTATCTATTTTATAAGATTATCTAAATTAGACCTTTATTTATATAACTCTAGTTACAACTTTTTATATTTTTACTAATACTTTATACTCTTTAAATAGTCAAATTTTTCTAAATTCAGATAGCTACTTAGCCAGATTAGTATTGCTAATCAGCAGATTAGACTTATTTATACTCTTGTATTCTAATTTCCTTCTTTAAATTTTAGATTTTACTAGTATAATTATTGAAGATTATACTACTTCACTACTTAGAATTTCTATTATATAGATTCTCTGCTTATAGATTCTATTAAGATTTATTCATATAATATTATATTATACTTCTAATATTTAATTAACTTGATATAACTTGATTTACAAAGTTATAACTCTAGAAACAAACAGAGTTTACTGAAGATTAAATAAAAAGATCTAGATAATTATTCAAATTTATTAATAGTAAACTTTAGGTTTCTTGTATAGTAGTTTAATAATCTAACTACTACACTAAGATTACTAGACCTTAAAGTATAAATATATTTTTTTTATTTTTTTTTATTTAAAGGTAGCTTATATTGCTAAAAGAATTTTATTAAAGTTACAAACAAGATTATACATTAATAATCCTTATTGTTTGTAATTATATGAAGAGTATACAACAAGCTACATATATAACTTTATTATTATTTATTTTAAGTAATTTACTGCAATAAATATTAGGCTATTTAATTAGTTCTATACTATACTACTATACCTATAACTTGCTTATAAGTTATCTATTTAAATACTCTGTTTATTAATCTATATAGATCTAACCTAACATCATTACAATATTTAACTACTTAAGCTAACTAGCTTATTATAGATCTATTTATTTAAAATAGCTTAGGTCTTCTTAGAATATATTATACCTAATGTATTATTAGTATTGCAGAGCTAGTTAATCTCAAAAAAAAGTATATTTTTCTTATTATGTTTATAGATATATTTTTATATTAAATAAAAGATTAATTTAGATTTAGTATCTCTTAATCTATAGGCTATTCCAAGTAAATTTGCTTAGAAAATTTATATAACAATATCTTTGATCTATATTTTTATAAAATTAATATATTTAAACAAAAATTTTTTTGATAATATTTGAAAATAAAGATTATATAATTGTAGTATTTATTTTTATTTTATAAGAAAAAAA